TGTGATACAGGTCTGCCAGAATGTTTCCATTGTATTGAAACAAAAAATTGAACTATTAAAATGAACTTAAACATTTTTTTAATTGCAGATAACAGCTTTAGTTACCTTTTCTAAAGATAGGAAATATTATTAGCTTATATAAATAGCAGTTTCAGTGTATGACTAATTCATTAAAAATGCATTATCTACATCAAATTTCCATATTTTGCTTTCACAAACACAAAAAAAAACAAAAAAACATCATATCAACTTTCAGATGTTGACTGTATGGCGGCTGATTTGGAGCTAAATTAAGTTCAAATTGAACGAAACCCCCATTAATGTACTGTTATAAATGAGAAATGACTTAAAGTAATATCTTTTCTCATCTGTACATGCACCACTGAGTGAAAATGCAATTTTAGGTAAGATATGGACAAATGTGTTCAAACACTTGCAGTGAAAACCTCATTTTGTTAATTGTGACGAAACAGTAAAAATCGCCAAATTCCACGGTACTGAACAACAAAAATGATGATTTTTATTTATAACTATTTTTTCTGAATTTTTAAATGATTTTGACAGAAAAATCGTCATAAAATTGGCATTTTCTTGTAATAATTAAGAAATTGAATAGTCATACAGCTTTCTAATTAAACTGCATCCTATCCCGTATCTAATCACTCTGCTCTGTTGTGGAAGAAAGGATATTTGATTTGTTTTACTTCCATTTTCCTTTCAGGTGATCGTATGGTGGTTGTGTCTGTCAAAATATTTAGTTATCTTACAAAAGCCAAAAAACAACATATATACATTTTTTACGTTCAAAATCGTGGACTTTGCCATTTTTTATTCCCTAGTAAAACTGTAGCAGACGTGGCCATCCAGACATCATCCCTTATTTCAAGATATTTTTAACAAAATAGCTTTTCTACTAAGAATTTTACACACAAAAGATAATATGATAAAGATTTGCTTGTTTTTTTTATAATTCTGGTCTCATAAATGATCATATCGTTTAACTTAAAAACAGCTCCAAATCAGCCCTGCACTCGCCGACACTAGAGGTAGGGGTCGACTTTTCATTACGTGAAGGCTATATTGGTATGAATGAAAATCAATCACATAAAGCTTATTTCCTATCTTTTAAAAAAAGGGCAAAAGCAAATATTTGAAAGTTTTTTAACTCTATTTAATACAGCCATATTGTTAACTCAATAGGTATTTTTTCAATACAATGAATTTTACGCAGTGTTTTTTTGTTGTTTTTTTTGCAAATATGTATCCTACTTTAGATGGGCTTGCCATCTTTTCTCTTTCCCATAATCAATGTTACACAAGTTGCAGATCTACATTTCAAAATTTATGAAAATAAGTGATTTTTATTTTATTTTTTGATCCCTAAAGACACTGTCACAGTAGCGATGTACATCACTGTGCAAAACAGAACTTTTGAAATTAATGTTGATGCTTAACAATAAAATGACGTTAGAATAACAATCTGACTTTCAACATCACTGAAACCATATACCCACGCATGGAAGTCTTCCGTTCAATTTTATTACCAAAGATTTCAAAAAGGAATCGTGGGTACGTTTTCGCCATTACACGTCATGCGAGGTTTGCCGACGAGCACTCCACGTCAGTCAACGTTGATGTTTTTATAAGTTGCAAATAAACAATTGTGTTTATTTCCGGGTAATTTTTTGTATAAATCCATATATGGTCTGAAGCTGGCATCATTTCCTATAGCAATGGTAACACCGGGATAGGTGTATATCACTACTACACACTCCGACACGTGGGCGGTCTGAATATGTAATACCTATAGCTTGCTGACAGTATCACCACGGCGTTCTCCACACATCAACGCTTTTTACACCAAGTAACGTTTCAAGAAGTCAGATCCTGCTGTACGTGAACACCATTTGTTTTAAACACACTCGCTGAACCCAACACGGGTTAAAAAGCGGAGCTGTTAATTTGATATTGTTTTTTTGTAATTTGAATAAAATTCACACAATATAAGCCGTCCTCAACGAGGTATTAACGGTGTGATGGTCAGTTTTGATACTTCATGCATTATCAGGGGGAAAATGACAGTTCACAGAGCACGAGTCACTGATCTTTGTCGTTTACAACAAACTAGGCGACTTATTTCTTAATTTGAGAATTTAATTATTTAATAGTCAGATAAACATGAAAACATGATTTTCGGTAACCATGGTAATAGGATCAACAAATGAACATCAACACATTGTATGGTTTCACGCTCCAAACCGTGTGACCAGGCCTGTTTGTATCGCCCGTGTTCTGTGATTATCGCATACATGTACCAGCCGTTAGAAATAATTCTTATGTTACAATATGTATACTATATTAGTCCAGTTACAGATATGCGTGCAACCACGTTGTTTCATTTAAATCGATAATGAAATGTCAAACGTCGCCGTAATTGAAAATGGGTGATTATGTCCTATTTGTAGGGAATCCCCCGGGAAGCAATCCGTGAACCAAAACCAAAAAAGGTGGAATGTTTAGCATTTTACCTGTTTAACTTATCAACAAAAGTTCGTTTGGGTTTACGGATAAGTAAACATGTAAAATTGAAACTTTTTAATTTGTGTAATGATGATGTGAAAACGTACCGATACCAAGCCTGAATTGTAGGTGTACGTTAAGCTAATAGCAGTGGACCAGTCTGCTGAACCGTATGTCAAATGATGCCAAACAAGGATTTGTCAGTAAGAATCCCGAATGCTTAATGTTAAACAACTAACGTAGACTTTTTTAACAGAAATCAACATACCAAAATATCTGTTCAATTTGCTTAATCATTTTGAAGTGCTTTATAAAGATTCTGTACTTTTCAGTTCTTCAGAAGAAGTCGTTTGAAGTGTTTGACACATTTGACCGCTGTGACATTGAAAGAAGGTCAAGGTCATTTTCATCCTCAAACTTTGCCGAGCTCTATCTCAGGAAGCCATCAATCAAATATAAAGATACTATACCGTTTAGTTCTTCAGAATAAGTCGTCTGAACCATTTGACATATTTGACTCCTTTGACCTTGAAAGTAGGTCAAACTAATTTTCATTCTCAAACTTTGTTGGGCTCCATCCCAGGAATCCATCAGCCCAATATGAAGATTCTATACCTTTTAGTTCTTCAGAAGAAGTCGTTTGAAGTTTTTGACATATTTGAACCCTGTGACCTTGAAAGTCGGTCAAGGTAATTTTCATCCTCAAACTTTGCCGAGCTCTATCTCAGGAAGCCATCAATCAAATATAAAGATGCTATACCGTTTAGTTCTTCAGAATAAGTCGTCTGAACCATTTGACATATTTGACTCCTTTGACCTTGAAAGTAGGCCAAACTAATTTTCATTCTCAAACTTTGTTGGGCTCCATCCCAGGAATCCATCAGCCCAATATGAAGATTCTATACCTTTTAGTTCTTCAGAAGAAGTCGTTTGAAGTTTTTGACATATTTGACCCCTGTGACCTTGAAAGTCGGTCAAGGTAATTTTCGTTCTCAAACTTTGTCGGGATTTTACCAACAAAGCTTTCAGTAAAATATCATGAATCTAGGCCTGTCCGTTCTTCAGAAGAAGTTGTTTAAAGGAAAAGTTGACGGACGAGGACGGACGACGGACGGACGGACGACGGACGCCGCACTATGACATAAGCTCACTTGCCCTTCGGGCAGGTGAGCTAATAACAGTTGCTTAAAAAACACTTCTGGCATTTAACTACTTCCTAACCAAAGTTTACATTGTAATTCAAGGGAAAATATATCAATTTGATATTACAAAATATTTTAGTCGGTCAACGTCATTCATATGAACAAACTTGGTACCCCTTTATCCCAGCATGCTACTGGCCATATATCATCACCATATGTCTGTTTGTAATTGAGAAAAACACTGAAGAGGATTTTAACACATTTGACCCCGGTGACCTTGAAAGTCGGTCAACATCATTTTTATTCGCAAACTTTGTTTGGCTGATTCCAAGGAAGCCACCAACCAAATATGATGTCACAAGGCGTTTGGGTATTTTAGAAGTCGTTTGACAGTTTTGACATATTTGACCCCTGTTCCCTTGACAGTAGGTCAAGGCCATTTTTATTTGCAAACTTTGTTCGGCTTATTCCATGGAAGCTTCGTACCAATTGTCATGTCTCTAAACCATTCGGTATTTAACACATTTGACCCCTGTGACCTTGAAAGTCGGTCAAGGTCATTTTTATTCGCAAGCTATGTTTGGCTAATTCCAAGGAAGCCACCAGTTAAATACAATTTCACTAGGCATTTCAGTATTTCAGAAGAAGTCGTTTGAAGGTTTTGAGATATTTGACCTCTATGACCTTTAAAGTAGGTCAAGGTCATTTTTATTCGCAAAGTTTGTTTGGCTTTTACCAAGGAAGCTACCTACCAATTGCCATGTCTCTAAACCTTTCGGTATTTCAGAAGAAGTTGTTTGAAGGTTTTTACATATTTGACCCCTGTGACCTTGAAAGTAGGTCAAATTCTGTTTTTTTCGCAAACTTTGTCGGGCTTCATATAGGGAAGCTACCAGCCAAATATCATGACTCTATGCCTTCTGGTTCTTCAGAAGAAGTCGTTTAAAGGAAAGTTGACAGACGCCGGACGGACGGACGACGGACGCCGCGCCATGGCATAAGCTCAGCTGCGCTTCGGGCAGGTGAGCTAAAAATGTGAGTCTTTGAAGGAATTGTTTAGAGCCGTTGGTAAACTGACGAATGATATTACACGAATACATGCAGAAGTTTCACAGATCAAAGACGTACGTCTACTACTGCATGTTTATGTGTACAGAGAAATTTCCCAATTTGACAATGATGGTGGTGGTATCATTCTGCCTACTACTTCCGCTGGACGCAATTCTAGAAAAGTCTGCGTTTGCAAAACTCTCGCATGATTTGTGTTTTTGGTGTAACTTGCTGATAATTAATTGAAATGTTAATGATTTGTTTTTCAATTAATTAAATAAACACATATCACTTTAAGCTCGTCTTTATTCGAACATTATCTTGTAATTGTCTGACAAATGTTTATATCAAAACGTCTCCAACAACCTGCAAAATAAAGTAACAGCCATGATCTCAGACCTGTGCAACAGTAAATAACTCGACTAGTGAAATGTATGCACTGATGCGTGGGTTTATCTAACAAGAATTACACAGGAGTGGATGTGTCGCCTGCTCGGCGCTTTTAAAAGTAAGAAAAGTGTTTTAGCTTGAGTAATCGCGTAAACAAGAAAAAATTAACAGCAAAAACGATGAACAGCGTTGCTATGTCAAGTGTGATATGCCAAAACGCGGAAAGTGGAGACTCGACAGAAAAACCCGTAATATATGTTGAACATTATTGCTTCTGGCATGATTAAAAAATAAAAAAACGTTCTTGCATTTACTACACGCACAATGCCCTTTTTTGCAATAAAAGGAGCTTAACTCCACCAAAAATGCATGTAGACTACTGAAATGCGAACTCTCTGAGCTACAGTATAATTGGTACGCAATATGTGTACTAAGTTTGAATTATCGCACGGAAAGAGGTGCTGAGAGTCTTAAACGGGGGGAAACTGGAGTACCCGGAGAAAATCACCGGAACCTGAGAATTTGTTACAACTATACATGGACCTAAACTTAGGTGTTCAGAGTTGTTTTACATGTTTTAGGGGTTTAGATAGATTTTCGGTAAAAATGACACCCCCAATAATTATATATACAAGAAGGAGGGAACGCTCTCATGTCGAAAAGTCCACCCCACCTAACTTAACTCACACTGTGGAGAAAATCATGTGGTCTGGCTGGTGAAGTACCTTTTTATGTCCGATCAGGGATTCGAACGATCTGTGATCATATTAATTGTCTTCAGTGTTCAAGCGCTTTCCATGGAATATGGATAAAGTATTCCAGCACTTTTCTATTCATTTCTTTCACTTTTCGAGCAAAGACCTCAATTCCAACACGTTTTCAGTTATATTAAGTTAACATCTATTTTTCAAGCAAAGTCTTCCATTCAAGCACTTTAACCACGATGAGATCAAGAGACATCGTCCGCCAGATAGGGCAAGAAAGACAACTCTTTACAAGGACAAAACACCTTGAACGTTCATGGTTAACCGTCACTAACGTCCTTTACAACAAAAAACCGAAAGCTCCCTCCTTCTGGATTGTACAGGTACATTTAGACTAGTTTCATGTTCATAAAAAAATGGCCATAGTTTTAACTTGCAGCCTTGTCTATCTGAATAAATATTCTCTCTTCGTGAGGACTAGAGACCACCATATGGAAAATTAACTGGCCCCAACCACAGGTACTAGCCTCGTTTGTCAATACACATATTATGTGTATTGAAAGACGAGGCTAGTATCTGTGCCCTAACTATTTCACCAATGTCCTCGATGGGACATTAATTAATGTTGAAAAACAAAGTTCTTTTGCTGGAACGTTTTTCTCGAAAAGGACTTAGCATGAACTAAATATATAAATATACTAATGCATTCAGCCGAGTCGCAAAAGAGATTGACATGGTATAATGCTGATTAACTTTGTAACACAACCATCTTAATGCCTTATTATTGACTAAAATAACGTTATTACGTACCATTATAATAACTGAAGTAAAAGTCCAATAAATCTTAAATATTTTTTAAATGTTTTTTTTTCCAATATGACTTAATGTACGATCTTTAAGGTGGCCTGTTTAACGTTATTGCAAGAAATTTCTTAAGTGTAAAAAAATATTAAGGGGTGCACAGCTGTGGAAACCTTAAATGGGGGGGAATCCCTATTTGTAAAACAAATCCACATTCATTAAAATGAAATGATTTACAGTACGAAGATTTTTTTACATTAAGGGGTAATATGATACACATAGTTTTCCAGACATTCCCATGCATTGACAACTCAATTATTTAGATGAATATGTTGTCATATTCAAATTTGACTTCTGATTCTTAAAGAAGTTAACGCCGAGAGCAAAACAACTAACATCAAGCTTCGTGAATCATTAATCCAGCCTTTATCAATCTTGTCCCACTGTTCCCGGTTTATATATTCAAAATTGTCCCAGCAATGTCCCAGTCTCTCTAGTTGGGAATGAAGGTTAAAAGTGACAGGATTAACATGCATTTTTTTTCAAGGAAGGGGCATAACTCCATAAAAAGGGGAGGTAACTTCATTTTATTTACTCTCATCTCCTCAATATAAGTGTTATGTACCAAATAGCATTCAAATCTGTGCAGCAATTTGGAAGCAGTGCAAGCAATGCTTTTAAACAAACAGGAATAACTCTGTATATAGGAGACTCCAATGTGTATACTTTATTCACATTCTCCAGGATGAATGGGTTCTGGGCACTATCATTAAAATCAGTGTAGAACTTTGGGAGAATTGGGGTGAACAACATTGTCTACAGAAAAACATCAGATGGACAGATGAATGGAAGGACAATCAAACAGACAACCCGGATCCTGTATACACCCTAACTTTATTGCAGGTGGCATAGCTACTGTAATCTAAATTTAGCATATATGTTGCTAACTAAGCTATTTCAGAAACACATGGAAGGGAGGGGTGGGGTGGGGTGGAAGGCACTTTCATTGATAAATATTGGTTGGTAGGTTTTCTGAAATTAGCCAACTATTAGAAGTATCAGCAAAATTGGATGGGTTGTTGGGTCTCTAAACGTTCCACCCACCTCCTCTCCTATATTTATTTATAGAACAGCCCCTGGATACTGGAAAGGTAATCAACGCTGGTTCACTTGCTTACTATCACAGAGGGGGTGGGGGTTTGATGAGCTCATGAAAATAAAGTCACTTTCTATAATATAATATAGAATCGACAAAATTGATTTAAGATTTTAAAATTTTAATGTTTTAATCATCAGCACTTTTTTTGTCACATGTCTATATTACAGTGAAATACACATCCCCCACCCCCGATGTGTGATGGGACATGTCAAGATTTCTTTGTCTCAATCAATCACAAACAGATTCCTTATACACTTTTAATACGTCACTGAAAATCTGTCTTGTGAGTGAAAAATAAAACTAATGTAATAATGAATTAACTGAGAGTAAAATAATTTCCAACATATTGCACTCTTTTCAATTCAGTTGGCTGTAGTGAACCAAATCATTCAATCAAAACATCCACAGAAAACAGTCATAACACTAGTCCGAATTATTCTGACGTTTTATCGACTTTTTTTATATCAGTCTGTCGTCGATTAATTAATTGACGACAGACCGATATACAAAAAAGTCGATAAAACGTCAGAATAATTCGGACTATCATAACACTTGACCACAAACATCCATGTTTCAGTAAACATCCATATGATTCACGTAAACATCCATTCCCTGTAAACATCAACATTGTGAGTATTCCCACGTAGCCTTTGCTATATATATATATGCTAGGCTTTATTTAAGCTTTGTTCAATGTCCTGCATCAACTTCTGTCGTGACGGTGGCAGAGTGTCATACAGTTCCATCCCATAATTCCTTGAAATATCGGCAGTTTTGTAGAACAATAGGTGCTGTTTCACTTCCTGTAGCAGAGAAAAATTACACGTAAAGCATCAGACACCAGCATACAGTGCATAAAATATATAGAAAAAAAAGACAGTCAAGGAGCTGAAACTGTCCACAAAACTCTACACAAGAGTTAAATAAATATGCTATCATCTCATATGAGACAAGCAATTTTTGTTGATTTTTTAAGGTAGTGTTATAAATGATAAAAAAAAACAGTGTTTCTGATGCATAGACATCACATTACACTCAATGTTCTTGCCTATGGATGGCTTATTTGATGTACACTTGCCGTCGAGTACCAACAATGTTAAAAGCTCGAAATTTCAGATGTTAGGCTCTTTTACGCTCTCTACACCACTGAAATATGTCCTGACAGAATCGAAGGCTCAGTGTGCGCCACCTTGTGGATGATACACGTTTACTAGTTTGATCCTATGAAATAGATCAAAATAATCCTGCAGCAGGGTAGTGGTAAAATTGACTGGCTTTGAAGTCGTATGTCGCTCCTGTGTAATCTTCAAAAGACAGGTATCAGCGTAGTGTTCGGTCACTTTTTTTCTTTAACCCGAGACTAATCAAATAGCTAGCCTCATGCAGTACCTTTGGCTAGGACATATTCTAGGGGTGCAGAGAGTATAAGAAAGCATAACTCCTGGAGAATCAAGGATGGAATTCCACTTATCAGCTCCTGAAACTTGACAGTGTATCACGACTTATGGTGCTTTAGCTTGGTGATTGAAACAATTTTATTTTTAACATTTAAAACATACCGGCCTCTGACAACTGACAGTGTCTCGGAGCATGTTGTGTTTGAGCTGGATGTGCTTGCCGTCTTGGGTGTAACAGAATCGGTTGACATGATGGACGGAGGTGAGATACAGTACTGGACACCAGCGAGGCTGGACACTCCCAGACAACAAGCCCTCCAGATAAAGTCGGAGTAGCTCTGTGTCCGACTCTTCAGGAACAAGGAAACCCTCAATGGGGACTAGCAACTGTCAACATCACGACATTGTCATCATTATCATTATTCCAAACTTAGTAAACATAAGTAAACATACTATTAAGGGGAGATAACTTGTGTTAACCGATATGTTGATTATGATCTACCATCTCAAATGTATCAAAACCACAACAAACCATACAGTTAGTCAACCCTGAGCATTGTTTAGCTATTGCAAAGGCTTTCAAGTCAAACATTAAAGGTCTACCAAGGCTTCCTCCTTATCATGTGCCATTTATATGTAGACGAACCTGTAATAAAATATGAATAAAAGTTTTTTTCTTACCTCTTTAACGGGAAGGTACAAGGTTCTCAGAATTCCCCTGTATTCTACCCAAACAGCCCTCCTCAGCTGTATCACATGTTTCTGTTGTAGGGGAAGCAGTATATAACAGCCAAACAACGAGTCACCAAACGACACAGCCTCGTACTGCTGGAGTAGGGCCATATATCTATAACATATAACGACACGACCTCGTACTGCTGGAGTAGGGCTATATATCTGTAACATATAATGACATGGCCTCGTACTACTGGAGAAGGGCCACATATCTGTAACATATAACGACATGGCCTCGTACTGCTGGAGTAGGGCCATATATCTGTAACATATAACGACATGGCCTCATACTGCTTGAGTAGGGCTATATATCTATAACATATAACAACATGGCCTCGTACTGCTGGAGTAGGGCTATATATCTGTAACATATAACGACACGGCCTCGTACTGCTGGAGTAGGGCCATATATCTGTAACATATAACGACACAGCCTCGTACTGCTTGAGTAGAGCCATATATCTGTAACATATAAGGACACAGCCTCGTACTGCTGGAGTAGGGCTATATATCTGTAACATATAACAACACGGCCTCGTACTGCTGGAGTTGGGCCATATATCTGTAACATATAATGACACAGCCTCGTACTGCTGGAGTAGGGCTATATATCTGTAACATATAACAACACGGCCTCGTACTGCTGGACTAGGGCCACATATCTGTGACATATAACAACACGGTCTTGTACTGCAGGAGTAGGGCCATATATCTGACTGTAACATATAACGACATGTCCTCGTACTGCTGGAGTAGGGCCATATATCTATAACATATTATGACATGGCCTCGTACTGCTGGAGTAGGGCCGTATATCTGTAACATATAATGACACAGCCTAGGACATATAACAACACGGCCTTGTACTGCAGGAGTGGGGCCATATATCTGACTGTAACATATAACGACATGTCCTCGTACTGCTGGAGTAGGGCCATATATCTTTAACATATAACGACACAGCCTCGTACTACTGGAGTAGGGCCATATATCTGTAACATATAACAACATGGCCTCGTACTGCTGGAGTAGGGCCATATATCAATAACATATAACAACACGGCCTCGTACTGCTGGACTAGGGCCACATATCTGTGACATATAACAACACGGCCTTGTACTGCAGGAGTAGGGCCATATATCTGACTGTAACATATAACGACATGGCCTCGTACTGCTGGAGTAGGGCTATATATCTGTAACAGATAACAACACGGCCTCGTACTGCTGGAGTTGGGCCATATATCTGTAACATATAATGACACAGCCTCGTACGCAGGAGTAGGGCCATATATCTGACTGTAACATATAACGACATGGCCTCGTACTGCTGGAGTAATGCTATATATCTATAACATATAACGACATGGCCTCATACTGCTGGAGTAGGGCCACATATCTGTAACATATAACGACATGGCCTCGTACTGCTGGAGTAATGCTATATATCTATAACATATAACGACATGGCCTCATACTGCTGGAGTAGGGCCACATATCTGTAACATATAATGACATGGCCTCGTACTGCTGGAGAAAGGCCACATATCTGTAACATATAATGACATGGCCTCGCACTGCTGGAATAGGGCCACATATCTGTAACATATAACGACACAGCCTCGTACTGCTGGAGTAGGGCTATATATCTGTAACATATAACAACACGGCCTCGTACTGCTGGAGTAGGGCCACATATCTGTGACATATAACAACACGGCCTTGTACTGCAGGAGTAGGGCCATATATCTGACTGTAACATATAACGACATGGCCTCGTACTGCTGGAGTAAGGCTATATATCTATAACATATAACGACATGGCCTCGTACTGCTGGAGTAGGTCCATATATCTGTAACATATAACAACATGGCCTCGTACTGCTGGAGTAGGGCAATATATCTGTAACATTTAACGACATGGCCTCGTACTGCTGGAGTAGGGCCACATATCTGTAACAAATAACGACACAGCCTCGTACTGCTGGAGTAGGGGCATATATCTATAACATATTATGACATGGCCTCGTACTGCTGGAATAGGGCCACATATCTGTAACATATAACGACATGGCCTCGTACTGCTGGAGTACGGCCATATAACTGTAACATTTAACGACATGGCCTCGTACTGCTGGAGTAAGGCTATATATCTATAACATATAACGACATGGCCTAGTACTGCTGGAGTAGGGCCACATATCTGTGACATATAACAACACGGCCTTGTACTGCAGGAGTAGGGCCACATATCTGACTGTAACATATAACGACATGGCCTCGTACTGCTGGAGTAGGGCTATACTGGAGTAGGGTTATATATCTGTAACATATAATGACATGGCCTCGCGTACTGCTGGAGTAGGGCCATATATCCATAACATATAATGACATGGCCTCGCACCGCTGGAATAGGGCCACATATCTGTAACATATAACGACATGGCCTCATACTGCTGGAGTAGGGCTATATATCTGTAACATATAATGACACAGCCTAGTACTGCTGGAGTAGGGCCACATATCTGAAACATATAACGACATGGCCTCATACTGCTGGAGTAGGGCAACATATCTGTAACATATAACGACACAGCATCGTACTGCTGGAGTAGGGCCATATATCTATAACATATAACGACATGGCCTCATACTGCTGGAGTAGGGCTATATATCTGTAACATATAACGACATGGCCTCATAATGCTGGAGTAGGGCCACATATCTGTAACATGGAGTAGGGCCATATATCTGACTGTAACATATAACGACATGGCCTCGTACTGCTGGAGTACGGCCATATAACTGTAACATTTAACGACATGGCCTCGTACTGCTGGAGTAGGGCAATATATCTGTAACATTTAACGACATGGCCTCGTACTGCTGGAGTAGGTCCATATATCTGTAACATATAACAACATGGCCTCGTACTGCTGGAGTAGGGCTATATACTGTAACATATAATGACATGGCCTAGTACTGCTGGAGTAGGGCCACATATCTGTAACAAATAACGACACAGCCTCGTACTGCTGGAGTAGGGCCATATATCTATAACATATAATGACATGGCCTCGCACTGCTGGAATAGGGCCACATATCTGTAACATATAACGACACAGCCTCGTACTGCCGGAGTAGGGCCATATATCTATAACATATAATGACATGGCCTCGCACCGCTGGAATAGGGCCACATATCTGTAACATATAACAACACAGCCTCGTACTGCTGGAGTAGGGCCATCTATCTATAACATATTATGACATGGCCTCGTACTGCTGGAGTAGGGCCATATATCTGTAACATATAATGACACGGCCTCGTACTACTGGAGTAGGGCCATATATCTGTGACATATAACAACACGGCCTTGTACTGCAGGAGTAGGGCCACATATCTGACTGTAACATATAACGACATGGCCTCGTACAGCTGGAGTAGGGCTATATATCTATAACATATACCGACATCGCCTAGTACTGCTGGAGTAGGACCACATATCTGTAACATATAATGACACAGCCTCATACTGCTGGAGTAGGGCCATATATCTGTAACAGATAATGACACAGCCTCGTACTGCTGGAGTAGGGCCACATATCTATAACATATCACGACATGTCCTCATACTGCTGGAGTAGGGCCACATATCTGTAACATATTAACGACATAGCCTCGTACTGCTGGAGTAGGGCCATATATTTGTAACATATAACGACATAGCCTCGTACTGCTGGAGTAGGGCAATATATCTGTAACATTTAACGACATGGCCTCATACTGCTGGAGTAGGGCCATATATCTGTAACAGATAATGACACAGCCTCGTACTGCTGGAGTAGGGCCACATATATGTAACATATAACGACATGGCCTCATACTGCTGGAGTAGGGCCATATATCTGTAACAGATAATGACACAGCCTCGTACTGCTGGAGTAGGGCTATATATCTGTAACATATAATGACATGGCCTCGCGTACTGCTGGAGCAGGGCCATATATCTATAACATATAATGACATGGCCTCGCACTGCTGGAATAGGGCCACATATCTGTAACATATAACGACATCGCCTCATACTGCTGGAGTAGGGCCACATATCTGTAACAAATAATGACATGGCCTCGTACTTCTGGAGTAGGGCCATATATATGTAACATATAACGACATAGCCTCGTACTGCTGGAGTAGGGCAATATATCTGTAACATTTAACGACATGGCCTCGTACTGCTGGAGTAAGGCTATATATCTATAACATATAACGACATGCCCTAGTACTGCTGGAGTAGGACCACATATCCGTAACATATAATGACACAGCCTCGTACTGCTGGTGTAGGAGTAGGGCCACATATCTGTAACATATAGCGACACAGCCTCGTACTGCTGGAGTAGGGCTATATATCTGTAACATATAACGACATGGCCTCATACTGCTGGAGTAGGGCTATATATCTGTAACATATAATGACATGGCCTCGTACTGCTGGAGTAGGGCTATATACTGTAATATATAATGACATGGCCTAGTACTGCTGGAGTAGGGCCACATATTTCTAACATATAATGACACAGCCTCGTACTGCTGGAGGAGGGCCATATATCTGTAACATATAACAACACGGCCTCGTACTGCTGGAGTAGGGCCACATATATGTAACATATAACGACATGGCCTCATACTGCTGGAGTAGGGCCACATATCTGTAACAAATAATGACATGGCCTCGTACTTCTGGAGTAGGGCCATATATATGTAACATATAACGACATAGCCTCGTACTGCTGGAGTAGGGCTATATACTGTACATATAATGACATGGCCTAGTACTGCTGGAGTAGGGCTATATATCTATAACTATATCTATAACATATTATGACATGGCCTCGTACTGCTGGAGTAGGGCTATATACTGTAATATATAATGACATGGCCTAGTACTGCTGGAGTAGGGCTATATATCTATAACTATATCTATAACATATTATGACATGGCCTCGTACTGCTGGAGTAGGGCCATATATCCGTAACATATAACGACATGGCCTCGTACTGCTGGAGGAGGGCCATATATCTGTAACATATAACAACATGGCCTCGTACTGCTGGAGTAGGGCCATATATCCGTAACATATAACGACATGGCCTCGTACTGCTGGAGTAGGGCTATATATCTATAACATATAACGACATGGCCTAGTACTGCTGGAGTAGGACCACATATCTGTAACATATAATGACACAGCCTCGTACTGCTGGTGTA